CTATATTCAAAATCGATACAAAAGACTTAATATTTACATTAACGAAAGGGTTAATAGATTTAATGAATGGGGGTATATTGGCATTGCCGATTACAAGGATTTACTAGCATACTCAAAATTTCTAAATGTAATTAAAAAGACGGGACCCGAAACAAGAAGATTACAAGATGTGGAAAAATATTTAAATAAAGTTATTCCTGATGAAGAGGAATCAGATGATTATGCAGAAGATTATCCACCAATCATACGAGAAATAGACGAATTGGAGGAGGAGATAGCTAGAGAAAACAGTGGACAAGGAATAACGTTTTTATTCGACAACAACGAGGAACTACTTAATAGATTAGAAATAATATTAGCGGCAATGAAGGAAGGACATCGATCACACAGACAATATAATGAAGTAAATTGTATATTAAAAAGACTCCTAGAGAAAGGTATTATAGATAAAAATGATTATAAAAGCGTGATTAAAAATGTCAAATAAAGAACAACTATTCGTCATCACCTCAAATAAATCAGACATTAAATTTTCTCTACATTATGAGTACGAACTCGATCGCAATCAAGAATATGAATTGGGATTCAAGTATTTTTCTGTTTACAATTCCATTAGAAATATCAACGAAAAAAATAATCAAATAAAAATATCAACAGATAACGCAGTTACGTTCTAAACCATACGTTTACTACCAGGAAGCTACGAATACATAGCCATTAACGAATACCTATCTGAATATGGAGGAAGTGTCAATGGTAAAAACAATATTGAATTCGAAGGTAATTTTAATCTGAACAAAATAAAATTGATATTAAGAAATAATAGTCAAGTTGCTTTCAACGTAGAAAATTCATTGAATACGTTACTAGGATTTGATAAACGAGTATACACCCAATCCACTTTAGCACCACACAAAGCTGATATCGAGAATGATATCGATGTGATAAATATACATTGCAATTTGATAAACGCTGGATTTTTCAATAAATACAAACGTCAGATTATTTACAGTCTTCCAACATTCACAGTTCCTATTGGATATAGAATTATAGAGAAACCATTTCAAACGACGTATTTACCACTTAATTCCTTTATGATTAAAGATATAAATCTGGAATCAAAGATGGTAAAAATAGATTTATAGATTTTGGTAACGAAGATATTGTTATTCAAGTTCATTTAAAACAAAAAAATTAACACTCTTCATTCTCTTCTTGAATAGTAAGGTAATCGAAATTATCAAATTCGTAGTTTTCATCTATGTTCAATTCTTTTCCGTCGTTGTAAGGATACATGAATCCTTCACTGTTTGGTGCTTTTCTCTTAACGAGATTTAGATAACTTCTAAAAACTTTCTTTTGTTTATCATCAGCCTTTGGAATAACTACTCCATTGGTGAAACTTTTTACCCAAGGTTTCTTATATTCATTCGTTACATCGTGTCCACTAGCTAATCGAATATAATCTTCTACGGATATCTTATCTTTAGAGTAACCCTTAAACGTTTTCTTTTCTTTTAGAATACCGTCGGAAGTTAGAACGATATTATATTTAACTTTTGGCGCTAAATATAAACCAAATATAATTTTTTCCTTTACAATAATCATTTTCGGACACCAACCCAGCTTCATTTAATTTTTCCCAATTGCTAGACGAAATTATGAACCATCGGTATCCGTATAGTATATTTAAGGCTTATAAAATCCATCTATCACGCGAATAAAATTATTCATTATTTTTTTACTGTGAGATAAAACGAATGATCCCAAATGACTAGGTGTTAGTCGTGTAGATTTAGGAGGTTCTTCTTCATTTATCTCAACTATATATTGACTATCATTTACTTTTTCGTAGTGTATAACGTGTGAATCGAAGTTGGCTTTTAAAGTCGCTTCACTCCATAAATGTCTCGATGTAGTTATATCCTTCTGAATAGATTTACCATAAAACGAATTGCCTAATAATTTCATGCAATTACTACCTACGATATTACCTTCTCGTTTATATTTATTTCTTAGATCTCTTAAAATTAAAATATATTCTCTATAGGGAGGAGTTTTAAAATTTTCTTCGTAAACTATACCATCTATTTTAATAATTCGTCCACCGGCTTTCACTATTTCTTGAATATCGACCGATGTTAAAACCTCGTGAGAGAAACCATTTCTGAACCTGATTTTAGTGCCAGTTTCCTTTTTACCTATTCTATTTGTGAAAGTGATTTTTCTTTACCTGGTATGGGTTGGAAGAACATGTTGGTAGGATATTCAAACCAGACTTTTAAAATAGCAGTTCTAGGTCTGAATTTCTGTTCATTAAAGAGCTTGAGAAATTCTTTATTTTCTTCTTGTCGAAATG